AGTGGAAATACTTCAAAGTGTTTGCTGTTAAACTAGACATGGTTTTAAAAAAGTGCACCAGAAGTGATGGCGATGAAAGTATTCTGGCTCCACACTGGTCATTTGGTGCTGGAGGACTTTATTCTTTCTGGTGATTTGATGCAGTCCTTGATTTGGTCTTGTGTCCCTGAGAGGACTTCTAATTTAGCTCAGCTGGAGCTTATAAATTGTTCTCGCAGAGTAGGGTTCAGATTAACTTCACATTGTGACAGTTCATAGGCAAAATATGGTCCCTGTTAGCAAAACAAACCCTTAGAGAAAACCCCCTCCGAGGGGGAGACTGTCAAAACCAGCGGTATGGGAGAAAGAGGGACCGAGAAGGAGAGGACAATCAAAGGCTGTTATTTTAATCTGCCCTGCCTCGGAGATTAGCCGACCACATTGTTTTAATTGTTTTAAAGGGAGGGAATGAAACGCGCTCTTATAGGGAGATCCTTGGCATAAATCTCTCAAGTTCAATAGTTTCAAAAACTTGAGCTCCTCGCATCCCCCCTCTCTCCCCTCATCCCACCTAATCCCGGCTAATACCTTTCTTTCTATTGGCTAATGGCTGAGGGGAGCCTGGGTAAACGCTTCTTAAATAGCCGTGGGTGAGAATGGTTTGGGAGAATTAAGCCCATGCCACGACAAAGAGCGCTGCTCTGCGAGGATATAAGGCCCAAATTGGACTAAAAAAACCTGGACTACCGTTTACTGGCCGACCTGTGTGCATGCGTAAAGACGCACTTGGAGCTGGATCTCACGGTTCTGCTTTGGATTCGAGTATCAGGTAAAAACACGCACACTTTTAAAACTTAAATAAAAGAAAGGAGGAGATTTGAGTAACGTCTTAACCCGGATAGCAACTTACTATTCTAGTTTAGCTTCCTGGCTGCGTGATGATATCACTGAATTTACGAACTAAGACTTTTGAGCTCTAAACTGCGAGTTAAACGGCAGTCAAAACAGAAATAGCTCTAAAGCAGAAGCAGAAGTGATAACCCACGAGTGCAGACGTGATCCTAGATCCGTTCACACTGATATCACTATTATCGAAAGAGGCAATTATACCGTTTTATCTACTTTGACCCGTTTACGCACAGAACTTCAGATTCTGTTACACCAGCGTAAATAATGACGTCATTTCAGAGAAATCAGTGGAGTTTATATCAATAGAGTTTATGCTCATTCTCGCTCAGATTTTATTACAATAAAAAAATAATATGGTCTTTTATTAATTTATAATAAGACAAGTGTCACCGTGTTCCCATTTAATTAGTAGTTAATTCGTTTGGAGAGGAGCTGGCGGTGATGTGGAGACTTAAACTCTGGATTTTCGATTAATCTTAACTTCGCTTCGGTGGGCAGTTATTGTATCGATACCACAGTAAAGGGAAAAAACGCACAATCTTGAAGGTAATGAAGTCTCTCTGTTTCTTCAGGTTCAGCATGAACTCCTTGAATTTCTGCGGGACGTCCAGCGGCGGCGTGTACCCCTTCCACGGAGTTAACTCCATGCTGGTGGACCTGCGCCACCAGATGGCGGAGCAATACCACGCATACTCTGCAGCAGGTCCCACAGTGCACACACTCACTGTGGCGGAGAGGCTGGCAGGTGGGTCAGTCACCACGGTGGGATTACTTTTTTCTTTTTCTCACAATGTACATTAATCTTTTACAGCACAGCATATATCAATAACTACAGTTACTTTCAGATTAATAACACAAATTATGACCGATATTGAGCCTCAGGGAAGCAGTCTCGTTGCTGCATGATTATAATGTAATCTTTATAATGTAATATTTACACAAACATCAATATAAGTATATTTTATAGTGCTATTTGTTTAAATATTTGTACAGTGTGAGAAAAAGATATGTTTGTCCAGTACAGAAAACACAGTGAATTCCATCCCAAACTCATAGTGACCCATTTAAACATGGTGCTTAAGAATTATTCCTGGTTTAAGTGACTGTTGTTGTCCTTTTGATATTGTTGACATTTTTGTTGATCCTCTGTAAGTTGCTGAAAACGTGCCTGAAGTGATGTGCTGCTCCCATTTTCTTCCTGCCAGAGCTCATCCTCGAGGCTCGCTATGGCAACCAGCAGAAGCAGCGCCGCAGCCGCACTGCATTCACAGTGTCGCAGCTGCAGGCTCTGGAGAAAGCCTTCCAGCAGACGCAGTACCCAGATGTTGGCATGAGAGAGAGGCTGGCTGTTTGTATAAACCTGCCCGAGGCTCGCATTCAGGTGAGAGCACACCTCAAGTATAATCTTAAAATAAAAATGCATGTTTAACTTTGAGGGTCACTGCATTAAGCTTTAATAGTGTTAAAACACCTCACTTATTTGTGGCGCATCGGTCGTCCTGTCTTCCTCATCCAGGTGTGGTTCAAGAACAGGAGGGCAAAGTTTCGTAAAGGTCAACGATGCTCCCCTCTGTCCAGAGACCAGAGTCTGGAGGAAGCTCCACATCACAGCAAAGCAGGACACGAGGACATCAAGGCTAGAGACAAACAGGACATCACCTTATCATGCGGTGACAGGAGCATCCCATCAGCGCCTCCTCCTCCTGATGTGACCAAAAGCAGGGATTTAGACTCTGACACCTCACAGTGCCCCCTACGACTTCCCTCTCCTCCGCTTTTCCCCTTCATGGCAGGAGAGTGTTATAGTCACACACCTCACCAGCCAGTTGTAGGAGTGCTGTCCACTGAGCTCGCCTTCCCTCCGGTGTTCTGGCCCGTCATGCAGCAGCACAGCTCCACCCTCGGGATTCCTACATTGTCACTTACAAAAAACTGTAGCGTCTCCCTTCAGACTCCTTGCTCTAGTAAAGCAGTGCAACATCCGCATCTGGGGCTGTAAGTGATGTGGACCCCTGAAGCAGTCCTGTGAGAGACAAACCTGAAACCTGCTGAAAGTATATGTTTATATTCTGTGAGTTTCACCTGTCTGCATAAACGGATGTAACACTCTGTACTTTCACAGTTCATTTTTCCTAATCTGCTCAGCGCTATATAGCTTGTTACACTGCTAAGTACTAGGATTAGGGGTAGACAATTAAAAAACATAGCAAAAGCATTTGGGAAAAGTCATTTTGTAACTGAGCACTGAAGCATAGAAATGTTAAATAAAATCACTGGCACCTGCTCTTTCTATTATTTATTTTAGACTCAGAGTTCTCTTTCAAGAGAGGATTATGGTATAGACCATAGCCAGGAAAACAGTGGAACTGTTGGAAATGAAGTGTGAGCAGCTTGGAAAGAAAAGCAACTGGACTTCTTTAAGCTCTTTCTGAACTAAAGAAGATTCACAGCTGAGAAGTGAAACGTCTTCAGGAAACTTAAAGAAGTCCAGTCGCTTTTCTTTCCAAGCACCTTAGACTACAATGGCCTGGGTGACTGAGAACCTACTCAGACATTTTGGAAAGGAAGTTAAAACTCTGATATTTCCAGTGGTATTTAAAAAAGAAAAGAAAAAAAGAAGCAAGTACAAATACCAGCTCACTTTGAGGTATTCGTACTGTGAGGATTTTATGTAACTTTTAACTTCTGATCCAAGATTTTCAGCACTTTTCACTCCACTACCTTTACTAGACAGTTTCAGTCACTTACATGTAAATTATCCCATAATTCAGGAAATATGTTGTAATTATTGTAAACTGTTGTAAATTGTACATACAGTTAGTAAAATTGTATATTTGTCTTTTTTTCATTAAAATATTTTAAAATCTAAGTGATGTTTGACATGAATTAATTATTAATAACAATAATTAGTACCAATTATCATTATTATTATTACCATTGCGTTATTGCCTCAGTCACAACGGACTGAAAAGCTTGAAGGACTTTTACAACCTAATGTATGCTTCAACTATATGCTCCCTGTTTATCTGTAAAGGAGTATTTTTACAGACTGTAAAAGGGTTAGTACTACACTGTAAATTACAGTGTAGTATCAGTACTAGTACGTTTTAAAAGGACGGTAGTAGTAGATGTTCGCCGGGCTGAGCAGCTCTACACTTGCAGCATGTTAGTTTCAGTTTTACCGGTGGTGCACATGTGTCAATCAAAAGCAACCGGTCTGGTCTGGAGCACGTAGTCGGGGAGCTACGATCGCCTGATGTTTCTGGTTATTCACCAAAGCGGTTGCGCCGGTTTTCCAGCGTAGCGCCGTGTGGCGTGAGCCCGGGTGACGCTGTGCAGTTAAGGGAGGCTTAAAGAGACAACAGTGAAATCATAGCAACTTGAGGATAAGAGGCACCAGACGAGGAAGATAGCGACGAACGCAGAACCATGACTTCGACTGCGTTTCGATAGCTAACATTTAAAGGTAACCATTCTTCCGTGACAGGGCTTCATTCCCAGCGGCTGTTTTTCAAAAAGCCGCAACGCAGTTTATTAACGTGCCTGGCGTGCTAGCTTGCTAAATGACTAGCTTGAGAGCTAAGCGGTAAGAGATCCCGGGCTGCCGTTGGTGTGCATTCGCTTGTTTAGGATTAAGGAGTTGCCCGGCAGTGGTCCGGGTAATGGCTGTAGCTGTTATCTGAACTAACATAAAAGCGACATTATGAGGTGACTCAAAGATATATATAGTTATATATATATATATATATATATATATATATATAGTTATATTATAGTATTTTTTTCAGTCGATAATATTTGTAACAGCCTCGCTTGGGACGTTATTTTTCGGTTATTAAGCATTTACTAACTAGCCACGTATATGTAGCTCAGGAAATGTCAGTCAATGAATATTTGATTCTCTGTAAGGCTTCGACTTATTTAATTTGAATGTGTTTGCTAACAGGTAGCCCGTGTTGTTGTGATACTGTGTTGTTAACAAATTGGCTAGCGTTACATCGTCGGCTGGGTTTTTTTTTTTTTTTTTAAAGCAGACGTTGGGCCAAGAGGATCGGTGTTTTTGGCAGGTACGAGCTAGGTTACCTTAATTCAACTGTGTGACATGTTGGCTTAACTACAACTTGAAATTAAATGTTTACATTCACTTACCGTTAATTCTTAATTAAATAGTCAAGCTAGCTACGACTGAAGGATGTCAAGCTAACTCGGGCTTCCTAGCCAGCGCTACGATAGCTTTAGAGTATCTGGCCTTGCCCGCCGAGCCAGCAAGTGTAATGTTACAGAGCCTTTCTTAAAGCTCATACCGACGGTATTCACTTTTTTAAAACGGCGTTTTCCATCTATCGTTCTTTATGGGGAAACAAATCGGCTAACAAGTATAGAAAGCGAGTCTTTGGGTTGTCCGAAACTAACGCTAAATGACAGCTGTTAAGACAGTAGCAACTTAGCAACTAGCTATCATTAACCTAAGCTAAAAAAGGAAGGTAAGTGACGAGGGAAAATTTGCCATTCCGGTTTGGTTACCGCTGCTCATTTGCATTTTGGGGTATTTTCTGTGGGTGTTTGTGTTCGTATTTACACGGTTTGAAACGGTCCTGCTAGTGTTATTGCTAGTTAGCTTTATGAAACTGGCCTTAGGGACATTATCTGGCTTAGGGAGGTTTCTTTTGGAGGGGGATCATTCATAAATGGACTGTCTTTGTGCTTCCAAATACCTTCTCGATACGTGAAATATGTCGCTGTTCGCTTTGCATGTTTTTAACAACTCTATAGTTATGTCAAATAGCTGTCATGGGAAAAACAATGCACCACTTCCTTAAATGGGACAGACTGAAAACATGGGCAGCCTACGGAAAGTTAACCAAGACAGCAAGATACTGAGGTCATTGGTGTTTTTCAGAAATATTCCCATACTTGCCCAATGTCCTTACATCATGTTGTTATTTTTAAATGTGTTGATAGTGTATTGGCCTCCGGCAGCTTGAAAAATGAAGTGCCTCGCATAATGCACTCTACCATTCCAGGAGCTGCTGTCATCTTTTGGCATGCACAAGCTGATAAGTTTTACTCCGTCACATAGTGTTCATCTTATCTCGTGACCGGCAAGGTTAGTTTCGCCACAATTCCTGTAGTAAGTGTCACCATATGCAAAGCAACCTAGGTATATATATATAATATAGTGCTTTGTTTTTCTCATTGTAGTCTTTGGAATGAATTCTGCATTGGCCAGAGTCACTTTGACAAATGTGTCGTTGTAGTAAAGACGTATTTAAACACAAAAAATTACTTGCTCATCCCTAGCAAACTTCTAGCTGATGATACTGTGTTTTTTATCTTGTGATGGTCAGACACGGCTGAGCTAGCTGTGGACTAGACTGTTTCTGAATCTTTCCAATAATGTTGTCCAGTGATGCAAATGTTGTGATTAGATGAAGCATTACAGCAGTCATTGATCTGTGTAAGTGCCTTTCCATAGGAAAGAGTAGCTGCCCCAAGCTAGCGCCTGCATTACCTGCTCTCTTCAGCAACATCTTAGATCATGGACATGACGGAGTGGCTCTGTGCAGAGACGCCTGCGTGTGGTTGTGAAAGACGACAACAAGATGGTTATTTAGCAGTATTAGCTATGTTGGTCTTCATTATAAACACACAGCACATTGTTACATGGTTTCTTTTAGAATATTTTATCTGTAATTTCTCATGTCTGAGGTCAACAGTTCTCCTCGTATTGATTCCTTTATTGAATTTGCTTTGCGTCAGTCTGCATAAAGATCTCATTTCAGCCGTAGTAAGGAACAGCCACTGTAGATATAATGTGATACTCATGCAAAAGGCTTGAATTTGTTTGTTTTTTTCCCTGTCGAAAATGTTAATTTCATAAAGGCCCAAGTGTTGCTGGAACAAGTTGTGATTAATTTGCTAAATTTACCAGCATTTTTACCATTTTTAATTGTTTTGTAGATGGTTTGTAAAGTTATGGCAGGTACCTGCCATTGCAGAGCTTTTATTTCTGCAATTACAGTCCAAATTGTCCATCTCCAAACAAGCTAATTTCAGTTGTAAGCGTGAGTAATGATTGGGTTGTGTGTAAATGATGGCCTGGGCTCTTAGTCGAGACAATACCAAAATACATCACAACCTATGGACTGATTTCTGGCCATGTTTTTCTTTTTCAGATAACAAACCAACATCACCCCAGACTGTTCGTTCCTGCTGTCAGTGTAATTCCGGGTTGCCCGCTAAGCTGTGGCCCTGCATCATGGAGAGCGTCCAAAGTGTCACTGAAGGCTGACCAGAAGGAATGAGGCACTCCAGGAGATGTTCCCAAGTGGCCTTGTGGATGCAGTAGTTGCGTTTCCGAGTGCTTTTTTATGACTAGTGTTGCATGTGTGTCTTTGGACACATCCTAACATCACCTGCCTATTTGTCAGGCGGGGACATGATGCTCTGAGACTGGAGTGGAGAAACGCACAACAAAGAAGCCCCTCTGGTAAACGAAGAAAAAGGGAAAAAGCTGTCCAATAGACACACGGGTCCATTCGGCTGCAGTTTTGGCTCATTTAAGTGTCTTCTGAACCGCTTCGCATTTTAACAGCAACACCTTTCCTCTGTCCTGTGAGGCGTCCCCCCCCCCCCCCCCCCCTCCCTAAAACAGTCTCCATTGTCATTGGAGTTTCTATGGTTTGCATGGCTGGAAAATAACCGTGGAGAGGCCAGGGTATCACAAGCTTATGGATTTTGACAAGAGAGGGGGCAAGGGAGAGACAGAGGAAGGGAAAAAGATGTCTAAGACAACAAGCAGCAGGCCTGGACATGGGGGCAGGAGTACAGGGAGCAATTCTGGAGTTCTTATGGTTGGTCCAAACTTCCGCGTGGGTAAAAAAATTGGCTGTGGAAACTTTGGAGAACTGCGGCTGGGAAAAAATCTCTATACTAACGAATATGTGGCCATTAAGTTGGTAAGTATCTCTTGAACTATCTCTTGAAATTGAAAACAAAAACCTACTGTTCCAGGTGTCCTCAAATAACTTATTCTGATAAATCTCTATTGTGAAAAGTTATTATCTTAATTACAGCCCAGTTTCATTGTGCACTTGACTGTTTGAGAGTGAGATACACAGGAAGTAAATAAGAACAATCAGACGGGGCCCTTTTCCCACGACCTGCTCTTGTATGCTTTTGAGTCAGCTGTCCTCTGGATGAGGTGAAGAAACTGCGACTGAAAGAACATTTTTCTTAAGTGCATTCCAGTGTTTGTTTGTTTCTTTAGTAACCTTTGTCACTTCATGCACAGTAGCAATTCTTGTAAAGATCATTTTTACACTTCCTTCCCTTTCACCAATTTCTTTGTCATTAGAATAATGTTAATTCATTTGTAGGCCCTTATTAAATAATCCCACACAGGCCTTAAGCTCAGTCAGTAGTGTACTTGCTTTGTGTCAGCATGAGCGGTGTTTTTTTTTTCCCCCAGCGGCACTGGTTTAGTAGCTTTCAAACAGACTGTGAAAACCACATGAAATGTCAAGGCCTGTTTGTTTTCTGATTGCTTGATTCTGGGGCAGCCTGTGACAGCTCAGCCATTTCCTCAGCACTTCAACTTTTCTCTTCACCATAAATTTGTTGCCACTTGTACCACTTTGATGTTTGAAATCTGTTTTTCCCCTGAAATTTGGTCAGTCTAGAAGAAGAGGTCTAACTCCCATTCTAAGTAGGTGTTAATACTGTTGGGGCTAGGCATATGATTTATATATGATTAACGTTAACGTTTCTGTCTCTGAGGGAGGTCGTTATCGCTGAATAGGTATTAACTAAAGGTTGTGCTAACCACTAGAAGGCAGAGGTTAGCAAACAGCTGTAATTGCAGTCCTCCTCTTGTCTGAAGTCTTTAATTGTGCTTGGTGCCTCTCCCCCTCTGCCTGTGAACCCTCCCATCTGTTTGGGTATTTTTATCCCCATGGTGTCCAGCTATATCTGGATCTGGCATTAGGGCTGTAACACCACTATGTGGATCTCGTGGCTACTGGACCCAACATCTCCGACTGTAAAATAACAACAGGGTGAAGTCTGCCAAAGGGCTCATCAGACCCGACTTGACTCTGTAGACTCGGGGTTATTAAGGACTTTTTTTGTTTTGTTGTTGATGTGTATTTTCATGTTGTTTTTAGAGTTAAAGCAACAGAAGTCGTAATTTTCTTTCAGGTTCACTATCGTTATCTTTTGTAGGCGTACATTTTCAGCATCAGTGTTATTACTGGGCTTTTATTTATCTGATATTTTAGAAAGACACAGAAAAACAGCAACATGTAACAGTAAAATTACAGTTGATGTTTTGTGTTTGCACATGTGTAGCTTTGGGTGAGTTTGTTGGCAGGTTGTGTACGTATGGGTATAGAAGAAAGGACAGACACGGGAAAGAAAATTCAGTGAATACATAAAAAAAAAATAAAAAAAAATAAAACGCACACACACACTGCTGTTTCGTGGCATATTAGGTTCATTCCCAGAGATGGGAATACCCTAATAGTAGAGCCAGGATGGGTCAGGACACTTAACAGCTGGCACAGCTCTGGGCATTACTGGCGTTGACATGAAGAAGGCTTCTCCCTTCACCCAGACTGCAGATAGTTCCCCGTCCACTTGTTTCTGTCTGTCCCTGATCTCACAGCTCTCTGGGGTAACCCCGTGAGTGTCACTGCCTGTCAAGTAGGGTATCTGATTTGTCAGAGGCTGTTGCTGAGCATTTCCTGACAGACTAAAACAAATAACAGTCCTGTTATCTATGAACATAAGTTAGACATGAGTTGAATATTGTCGTTTTATCACAGATTTCATTGATCACTGTAAAAATGACAAAATCAGAAAATATGCTGTTTGTTACATGTATCAATCTGTCAATCAGTTCTCAAACAGTTCACTAATTGTTTAGTATATACAGTGGGGCAAAAAAGTATTTAGTCAGCCACCGATTGTGCAAGTTCCCCCACCTAAAATGATGACAGAGGTCAGTAATTTGCACCAGAGGTACACTTCAACTGTGAGAGACAGAATGTGAAAAAAAAATCCATGAATCCACATGGTAGGATTTGTAAAGAATTTATTCGTAAATCAGGGTGGAAAATAAGTTGTAACGGTGGACCCAAGAAATACCAGCCGGAGCGACTTTGACAATGCAGAACTTTTTATTAAACTCGGGGTTGTACGTGGACACATATGCTCCCGCGCTCTCTTTCTCTGCTGTCACCTCCGTCTCCGTCTGTCACTGCCAACATATAAAGAGACACAATCACTGTCAGATCCCAGCACACCTGTTCACCCCGCCCCTGCGCCGCCCCGGGAGCTCACTGCGTCACTCCTCCTCTGCAGCTGGCCAAGGACCACACCCACGCCACACAAGTATTTGGTCAATAACAAAAATACAACTCAATACTTTGTAACATAACCTTTGTTGGCAATAACAGAGGTCAAACGTTTACTATAGGTCTTTACCAGGTTTGCACACACAGTAGCTGGTATTTTGGCCCATTCCTCCATGCAGATCTTCTCGAGAGCAGTGATGTTTTGGGGCTGTCGCCGAGCAACATGGACTTTCAACTCCCGCCACAGATTTTCTATGGGGTTGAGGTCTGGAGACTGGCTAGGCCACTCCAGGACTTTCAAATGCTTCTTACGGAGCCACTCCTTTGTTGCCCGGGCGGTGTGTTTTGGATCATTGTCATGTTGGAAGACCCAGCCTCGTTTCATCTTCAAAGTTCTCACTGATGGAAGGAGGTTTTGGCTGAAAATCTCACGATACATGGCCCCATTCATTCTGTCCTTAACACGGATCAGTCGTCCTGTCCCCTTGGCAGAAAAACAGCCCCATAGCATGATGTTTCCACCCCCATGCTTCACAGTAGGTATGGTGTTCTTGGGATGCAACTCAGTATTCTTCTTCCTCCAAACACGACGAGTTGAGTTTATACCAAAAAGTTCTACTTTGGTTTCATCTGACCACATGACATTCTCCCAATCCTCTGCTGTATCATCCATGTGCTCTCTGGCAAACTTCAGACGGGCCTGGACATGCACTGGCTTCAGCAGCGGAACACGTCTGGCACTGCGGGATTTGATTCCCTGCCGTTGTAGTGTGTTACTGATGGTGACCTTTGTTACTTTGGTCCCAGCTCTCTGCAGGTCATTCACCAGGTCCCCCCGTGTGGTTCTGGGATCTTTGCTCACCGTTCTCATGATCATTTTGACCCCACGGGATGAGATCTTGCGTGGAGCCCCAGATCGAGGGAGATTATCAGTGGTCTTGTATGTCTTCCATTTTCTGATGATTGCTCCCACAGTTGATTTTTTCACACCAAGCTGCTTGCCTATTGTAGATTCACTCTTCCCAGTCTGGTGCAGGTCTACAATACTTTTCCTGGTGTCCTTCAAAAGCTCTTTGGTCTTGGCCATGGCGGAGTTTGGAGTCTGACTGTTTGAGGCTGTGGACAGGTGTCTTTTATACAGATGATGAGTTCAAACAGGTGCCATTCATACAGGTAACGAGTGGGGGACAGAAAAGCTTCTTACAGAAGACGTTACAGGTCTGTGAGAGCCAGAGATTTTCCTTGTTTGAGGTGACCAAATACTTATTTTCCACCCTGATTTACGAATAAATTCTTTACAAATCCTACCATGTGGATTCATGGATTTTTTTTTTCACATTCTGTCTCTCACAGTTGAAGTGTACCTCTGGTGCAAATTACTGACCTCTGTCATCATTTTAAGTGGGGGAACTTGCACAATCAGTGGCTGACTAAATACTTTTTTGCCCCACTGTAAATGTCACATGAAACATATCAGATGTTCTCATGCTGCTTGTTTACTGAGCCTCTGACTTAGTAACACAAATGTTACTAAATATGTGTTTAAAAAAAAGTAGAAATTTTTTTGCATTTGAATGGTATGAAAAAAAGATTAAAGTTTGCTTATTCTGCTTTGCTAAGTACTCCTTGCAGGTCTATTATAGACTTTAATATAGACTAGAGCCTGATTTAATGGTGCATTTTGGACAACATCTCTTGGAGAAACTCTGATGTACAGTAATGAGTAGATGAGAAAACAAAGACAGAGGGAGAGTGTGTAATATAAATTTCTTTATGCCCGGTCAAGTGAAGATTGTTGTTTTACCAAGAAACTAATAAAACTATTTTCTTGGGATAACAAATGTAATCTGGTTGACGAAAGTAGTTTTTAATCTGCTTTGTTGTAACAACCAATTTTAAATGCTAAGCTCTGATGGATGGCATGTAATGATTAGTTAGTCTTTGGCTGGTACTGTTGTTTGCTGAATGCTGTGTTTGGCTGGGTATTTTGGTGGCACCTCTGTGAATCAAAGTAAAAAGGTGAATGTCAGTTTCACCCTGCTTTGCCACTTAATAGCAGAGACAGAGATTGAGTTGGTATGGTATGAAAGGCCTGTGCACTCGATCCTCTGGCAGTGGATCGAGAATTGCTTTAAACGTTACTGCAGAGAGAAGCTGCTAAGTGCTGAAAGGTCGTCTTTGTTGGCCGGCCTTGTGGACACACAGTAGGTCAGTCTTTGGTTCAGCTGGGTGCTTTCTCACACTGGCAAGTGCCTACGTGTTGGAGGCAGGACTGTACAGACGCTGCTGTAAGTACACTGCAGGCTTCACTCCCAAGGGGAGATCCCAGAGTCTTAAAGAAACAAAACCATTAAATGTCTGCTTGCTGTTGTGGCTTACTGTACACACTAGCCACCCATCAGGCTTTACTGAGAGGGTAAAGTGACACATCATCTCCATCAGAACGTTTTCGTCTAAACCTTTCTATCCATGAGGCATTTTACAGATTTTCATTTTAATACTGCTGTCTTGATGTAGCACTCGCTCTGTCTTACCATCTGTAGTTAATTGTTTTTCGAGAGGTCTTCAACCCCCTCTCAACCACTTCCCTTAGTTTTTGCGTA